GCCCTGGATGTTTTGCTACCAGGACTGGCTGTTAGAACGGAAAAGCTGAAAAGTGTGATTTCTTCACATGTCCTCAGAGACCTGCACAGCCAATCTCTTAAATTATTTTGTTATTGCAGAAATCAATGTTTTGTCTTAAAACTTTAGATACCCCGTGGAAAGTCACTGATTGCAAAATGGAATTTAAGATTTTCTAATAATTAGTCTCATTACATATGTTGTTTTAAAGTGCTTTACTCCTTTTAGTTCCACTCCTGCCAAGAGCAAATTAGGACCAAAAAAATCTGTCCAGTATGTGATATCCTTTTTCACTCCTACATTTAAAGGGTAATGCTACTTTAGTTTTATTTCCAACATGGAATACACCAACAACCTGATTTAATGCAGGAAGCTTGGATCACAAACTGGACAGTGGGTAAAATAGGAAAGATGATTTATATTTAAAATATGAGCTATAATACTTTAGAACTACCAATTGTCTAATCCTTGTATCTTTTGGTGGATAAAACCCTGAGAATAATTGCATAAACTATCATTGTTCTTCTGAGTAGCATTAAAAATGAAAGGCTCAAACAGCCATAAGTTGTTACATCAACAAAGAAAAGAAATAGTTGATAGGAAAAATATGTACCATGTACATCTCTGGTTACTGGAATTAAGAGTAATCTTCAGTTTCCTCTTTTGCGTTTCTCTATTTTTTTAATATTCCACAAGGAACATATAATGCTTATTTAATGTGAGGGGGAGGGAAACTTGTTTTAAAATAAATTAGTGAAACCTCAAAAAAAAAAAAGTGGCTAGGAACGAAATGACGATTAAAAAGACAAAATCACTTGAAGATCAGAGTCTACTTAAGGGAAAAAAAACGTAAGAGTAACCCCATGCAATAACTCTTGTCAAACCCGTTGCAAATGTGAAAAATTGCAAGACTGGAGCCATTTTCAAATAGAGCCAGAGCAGCTACTTCAAATTGCTTTGTTTTTGTTTGAATTGGGACAATACTTTTGGACTGGACAAAATGGCAATTATTTTAAGCAATTACTTGAAAAGTCAGAGGGAAAACGGACATCCTGATCACAAATGCTGGCATGGACTTTCTGGAAAATAAATCACTTGTCAATCAATGTATACCCACAGTAGCTCATCTTAACACCCAAAGAAAAATGTGTTTTCTTCAACTCATGTAATTGCCCCCTTCCTTTTCCTCATAAAAACCCCTTGTTTTCGCTATACAAAAAGGAACACTATTTGGGTTTCTACTTGAATCTGTGCTCCCCAAATTACAATTATTTAATCCTAAATAAAATCTTTGTCTTTTCATTGTGGCTCTTTATTTTCATGTGAATAGGGGCTTAAAAAGAAACTGGCAAGGTGAAAAAGATACATTCATCGAATGATGCTCCATAGTTATAACACTCCAGAAGGATATCCTGGAATGAATGGTTGAGCAATGAATGCTAATCTTGCTCCTTATTTTAAATTGGAAATCATGGACACTAATAATTTAGCACTTTGATTTGCTATTGACCTTTGCCCATTAATTTTACAAGGATAATTTGTAGTAAAATAAAATATTTAAAATATGAAATTTATTTTTAATGAATGTGAAAACATATTGATGTATTTATTCATGCAGGGAAGCAAATCTACATTGCTGACATTAATGTAAAAAGTTACTCTCTTGTATCCTGCATGAAACAGCCACCCTGGAACAACCCATCAATAGTTCCCCTCAAAGAGTTGGTCTCTTGATTTTCCCTGCCTGGGATCTCCCAGGAAGAATCTTTATTATTCACAGTGATTTACCTCCTGAATTTTAACATACAGCGATTATTGCTCCCTTTTACTCCTCCATGTAACTTCCTTTTAAGAATACTATAAATGGTGTGCTGGCTTTCACTGCAAATGAATATTCACTCCAGAAATCATCAACTTAGAGAATCCTTTACTGGACTATCACAAAATTTGTTTCAAAGAATGAAATAAAAAAATATATATGTCATGTTAGATCATTTGGCATTATTTTGAAGCTGAGCAGCATTACATGGGAAAAAAACTGCAGATCACATATAGCTGGACTATATTTAATGAGTTCTACAAAATTACCTGAGTAAATAGTTCAGAGAATAAAGCCTCAAAAAAATTGGGAGGGTACAATTAATTTTCGAGTGAGATTTTAAACTAACTGGGGATAGCTGTGTGCTCCAAGCAAAATGCTCTCATTTATTCTGGAGTACATTTATGTCATATAAAATGAACATTTGTTGTGATTCTTTTGAAGAATGAGGACATCAGGATCCACTGATGCTACAGGTGAGGATTGCTTTGGCTACTTATTGGGCTAGTTACTGGTTTTACCTTCAACATTTACCTACATACATAATTTGTACAGTATCAGAGCACAGGCAGAAAAAATGAAAAATATTTTGATAAAATGAGCCTTCTTCATGACTTCTTGAGTACTCTCTCTTGAAACGGTTGAAACTACATAAATCATGAATAACTTTTGGTTAAGATCATTGAAAAACAAAATTAAGAGAAACTCAATGAAACCGAAATAAACACTTTCATTGTCATGCATAAAAGATAAGTGAAAAAGACCTGTTTACTCTCTGCTTCCTCTTCCTCTTTGGGAAAAGAACCTGCACTAGAGTTGGAAGAGCCCACTATTTACTTCTAAGTAGTATCTTGGAAAATGTTTATTCTCTTATCTTGACTATTTAATTTTTCCTTCTGGAATGAGAAATCGCAATGGCCGCCTTAAGCTTTGTTGTAAGAAGTAAAAAAGCTAAGGAATATGAATGTGCTTGGCGAACTATAAAGTCTGGGATGCACATCGGTACACAGGGAGGCAGGACACTGCTGTTGGGAGACCAGCTTGGTTCTCATCTCTGTTTCCATCTCTGTGACCTTGGCAGACATGCACACATCTCAGAGTTGCAGGTTTCTCCCTGCTAAGAGAGATTGTTCTGCATGATTTTCTAAGTCTTTCCTATTTTAGACTCTTGCCTCATTTTCAGACTCCATCACAGCTTCATAGAGGCAGAATTTGTAATCCTACCTGTTGTATTAGTAAGATTACTGTAATATGTATTGGAATCTAAGTCTTTTTTTTTCCCACTGAAAAAAGAATTATTTCCTACCATAAGAAAAATTCCCACAGTAAAAAATTTTGAGTAGACACTTGCCTGAAATCTTTTCCCTCCAACCTTTTTTTCTTTGTCTTGATTTTTTATTTTATGAAGCCCATTTTTTGAAGGAGCTTATTTTCTGGACTGCAGTAAAATGAGTAAGTCATAATTGTAAATTCTGATAAAGGTATTTGTTACTTAAGAATCTGAAAAAATAGTACTACAATAGAAATCGGAATCTACCTAAAGATAACTTAATTGCATCATGTAAATGTAAATTTCAGAGGTATATTTCTTTTTTAAACAAAATTTAATCAGACTCAATGAGCAGTTAAATAGGCACAGAATGGATGTCGGTGTATAAGAAACTATATGGCATTGAGTGTGGCCAGCTGCAAGAATTCAGGCAGGTTTGGCTTTAGATTCTACTATTACAGATATTTTAGAAGCTAGTTGAACCTTGTACATACTTCAATTTAGACTTTACTGGAGATCACTGTAGAAAAGGAGGGGAAAAAATGTTCTCAACGTGTGCAGGTGCCGCAGTAGGTGTTTCTACACCTATTTTATTTGATAGCTTCCAAAGACTGAAGATTTCAATATGAAGTACAGTTGACTTTGAACAACATGGTTTGAACTGCTTAAGTCCACTTATACACATAATTTTTTCTTCAATGTATTGGAAAATCTTTTGGAGATTTGCAACAATTTTAAAAAAAGCTTTCTATTCTCTAGCTTATTGTATTGTAAGAATACAGTATATAATACATATAACAAACAAAATATGTATTGAGTTTATATTATTGGTAAGGCTTCCAGTCAACAGTAGGCTATAGCAATTAAGCTTTTGGAGAGTCACAAGTGGATTTTTCACTGCACAGGAGTGCCCCTAAGCCCTGCATTATTCAAGGGTCAGCTATAGTTTGTCAGTATATGTGCCTAAAAATAATTTTAAAAATCTTTGTAGGAAAACAGATTCTCTCTTTTTTAGGTCCAGATGTTTTCTCAGGATGACATGGAGTCTGGCTAAATTCTCTGTGTAGAAGTAAATCATATTTTGTGCGTAGTATGTTTATTATCTTCATTGTCTATATAAAAACAAATGAAAGTTGTGGGTGATTCTTGATACAGTGAATTATGCAAACATCTATATTTCTGAATTTGGTTTTGGACGTAAGGCTATACAGAGAACTTGTACAAGGGTTGTACAAACACACACACATACAGAAACACAAGCTCTCTTCTCTGCCTCAGTCTTCTTTCTTTGAGATCAGAATCCTCAGTTGAAATAATATGAGATTTTTTCCACCAAAAGTCTTCTAGGGAAAAATGTAAGTTTTCTATTAACACAAAGGTTTCTAATAAATTATTTCTGAAGTATTTACAAATCTCTGATATCCAGGAATGCTGGCATAATGAAGAGTATATTGTTGTCCAGAATAGAAAAACTACTGCTTGAACATCATAATGCATAAAAGAAAACTTTTAAGGATCATTTCCATTTAACTGATAGGTTTTTCCATTTAAAAAATTACAAAATGCTTTAGAAGAGAATGTGGAACATCTAAATAATCTTTGCTTTAGTTTATCATTACAACCCCAATCAAGAAAGTGGATGCTGGAGCTTTTTTACCTTGAATATTATATGATTTTAGCCAACACAGAAGATATTAATACATCCCACTGTTTTAGTCAAATGCTAACAGAAAAAGTGGCTTAAAATTGTGAAGCTTGACAAATAACCCTTTTAATTTAGATAACAAAAGCAAACTCCAAGGAAGTAATGTGACTACCAAATAGTACCCATCCACTTGGTTATCAATCAATGTCACTGCCTCCAAATCTTCTTAATCCTTGAATATTTTGGGGTTTTTTTTGTGTGTGTGGTTTGTTTTATTAAAGACTACAGATTCCCAATCCACACCCCCTAGAAATTCTGCTTTAGTAATTATGGGGTTTCAGGAATCTAATTTTTTTGAAAGAGATCCTTAACATTCTGACTTATATTTAAGATTAAAGACCTTGTGCACAGATCCACAGCAGACTACCTGGGATACAGCGAGGGAGAGGAACAGGTGCGTTGCTCAGTTCTTGGGCAGGCTCTCCAGGGTTACACAGCTGCATCTTCCTAACAGTCCACAACTTTATGTCACGGGCTACCTACCACCTCCCTAGTGTTTTCTCCCTTCAAATGAAAACAATATTATATAAGTGACATCACTTGGTGTTCAGGTTACTTTGCTCTTATAGGTTTCCTATGAAAAAGAATATTACTGAAAGAAAAAAAGAGTGAACAGAGTGGATTTATAGCCTTTCTTACCATCTGCTCCAACGTCACATTCTAGAAGTTTAATTCAGCTCAACTGGAAACTCTCCTTATGGGAAAATACGAAGCTGTCTATCACCATACCAGTCTTGAGATTTTTAAGGCTGTCTGGAATTTGGAAATTATTTACTTGACTAGAAGTTGTGGTGTATAATGAAGTGAATTTTCTAAACTGTGAATATATCAGTCATAAGGGGAAGGGTCTCTGAAGGCTTTTGTCCTAAGAATTTCTTAACTTTGGTAGTCCTAAGAATTTAACTTTCGGTAGTTAAATAGAGTTAATATCTAATAACATAGTTGGTTTTATAGAGAGAAAATGGAGAGCAGTTGTTTCTATCATCTTCAATATAGAATGCCAAGTACCTCAACATATTTCTGTCAGTTCTCAATATGGATTTTATGTGTTCACTGCATTTTATGTATTATAGTGTACAAAATACATCCTTCTGTCCTTTATGTTACTCATGGAAGCCAGAGTTTAGTTTAAGGCTTTTTTTAATACAGCTATGCACTATAAGAAATACAATTTAGGTCTCAATGAAATATCATTCCTGATCTTCCTTTTAAAAAAAAAGTGAATTAGTCTTTTATGTACTAATTTTAGAGAAAAGATTAGAAAAATGAAAAAGTAAATGACTTACCTCTATGACTCCAAATATAGTAGCTGAGCTAAAAGCTTACTACGACATTAACAAAAAAGTAGAATTCATCAAAACTGAATTTCTTTTCATATCCCATTGAAGAAATGTTTGTTACTGAAGTTTTGACAAAACAAGCTTTTATGTCATTTTGTTTATAAGGTAGTTTCATGATACTGACCCTGAGGATCAAGTCTACAGTGAAAGCCATACACACTACCAAAGGGTATATAAAAGCTTTTGTGAACATTTTATGTTTGCCTTAGAAGGCTTATCTGTTAAGCCTGTGACAATTTTATTTATTTAAAAGAGTAAACACAGACTCAATGGTATTAGTCTATGCTTGCATGGATTAAGAAACTATGGGTTGCATATAGAAATCTACCAATGTTAGATAATGTGTATAATTCTTATTTTTCAATGTAGCTGGGGCCAAGGAAGTGGTTAATATGTACCTCAAATGCCTTAAGTGGATACCTACTAAAAGGTATACAAAATATAAATAGTACTGTATATTTTCAAAAATTTTAAACAAACGCAAAGAATATTAGGTATACATGTTATAATTTCAAAGGCAACACTAGCACATAAGTCTTCTTATCTAAATACATACCAGGATACTTAACTATTTCAACACATGCACCTAAAAACACATGGTCATGCACATAACCTTGCTTTCTGCCACTTGCAAGAAAAGTCAGAATATACAATATAGTACATTGTTTCAACTTAAACTACATTGGCAAATTAATGAGGATGGCATTAAAAAACTGATCTCAGAAATCAAAAGACAGGAAGATAATTATTCCATAGATTAAAAACACTGAAGACTGATGAGAAGTTAAGATTTAAACTGGTTGTCCCAGTGATCTTGAAAGATACAGAAGGGACAGGATTGGCTGTAAGCACTCAGAATGCTCTATTTGGGAATTGGGACTTTATAATCCGGCAATCCAGGCCAGAGACTCAGACCACTGATGCTTCGGATCGCAGAGAAATGGTATAACTATTGGCAGTTCTTCGCAAGGCAGCAGGTGCCGATGGAGCTCTTGATGCCCATCTGGACGGGAGACGGCGATTTGCTGGTCTAGCAGGTCGGGAAAATCCTTTTCCATGTGAGGATTTCACTGCCATGGGTTCCTAAAACACAAATGAAGACATTTATCTCACTAAACAGGTACCAAAAATGGGCTTAATATACTATGGATGTATTAGCATGTTTATAAGCAAGAAAAGGCATCAAGAACTAAAGAAGGCATTTATCTAATATTTGTGGTCTTGAGTGTTTTAGGCAAAGCAACTCACTTTTCAAGTGGAATATGGCATTTGATGCTCTTATAGATCTCTTCACATGACAAATCTGAATACAACTGATCTCTTTTGAGAATTAATCATGAGTTCAGGAATCAAAGTTCATGTTAGATAATATTAATAATATGGAACTACAAATGTTTCTTAGTGGCATATTAGGATGTCTTAGTGTTATTTAAAAAGAAAAAATAATAATTTATAGAAGAAACTGTTCATTCATATCAAGCTATCAACACTTTAAGAAGTTGTAAGGAAATGGCACACAAACCACCAAATCTTTTTCCCACTAAGAACCACTGCTACTATCTCTTGAAAGTTTTAATATTATTATTAAAAGACTTTCAAATATCATTTCATTCCACTTGTTACTAAAGAATTACTATCTATATTGGGCACCACTGATGAATGTCAACCTCTTCCTTCTCTTCCCTGCCCTTTCTTCCTTCTTTTTTTTCTTTCTATTTTAGTGGAAGAAAAGCATTCTTACACCTTGCAATTTAAAAAAAATTAAAAAGCTTCCATGACACATTTTATACTTTTGGTTCTCATTGACCTTAACAAAGCCTGTGTTATTTCATCTGAGATTGGACAAGGAGAATAGCCTCTATTTCTATGACAGTAACCTGCATATTCTTTTTCTCTCCCTGGAATTTTAGTTTTTTTTAGATTTATCCCCAGTGAAGGGGGATGAAGAACTACTCCTAGGGATTATAACAGAGGAGCCCTCCCAAACCTTCAAGCAATGCAAAAATAAGAAATAGTAATATTTCTTGTTAGTTAATAAGAATTTGGCTTGTTATTATATATATGTTTCCATTTCCCATCTAAAGCTACAGATATTTATAGGCTCAACTAAAAAACAGAAATACAAAAGCAGGGTAACGATCTGCACCTTGCAAACAGGCAAAGTTTCTGATAAAATGGATGTAAACTGGTATTTCTGTAGGATTTGAAAGCCAGATAAAAATATTTTTCTACAAAAGAGGGAAGCAACCTGCATAGTTTAAAACTATGTTGTATACACACCGCATTATGTAAAACTAGGATTTTCGAAGCCTTAGCTAATGATGCAGTATGTCACCTTGCAGCTTTTTATAAATTATGCATAAAAAGGGACTGTTGGACAGCTCTTCACTGTAAATACCAATCTCCTCAACCTCTTTTTCTCCTTTAACTAGTGAAGATAATATTTTTTTAGGAACAGACTGGAACAAAAAAGGCTAACAGTTTGTTTAAATACCTATTTTTGAGGCCAATTTCCATGTTAACAATTTACACAAATAAGAAGAGCTTTAAACATTTTTAAGCCACAATTTTTTATTTTCATATACTATCTTTTAGCTCCACAAATAAGAGAACTTTATAACGTACTATCTTAAAAGATGTGTTTTTATCAATACTCATGTTCCTGTGACTAATTCCCATGAGAAAAAACATGAATCAAATGCTGGGAATGACTGAGCCAATCATAGCTATTATCTGCAAAGTGCATGTTATTTTAAAGCTATTTCCCATATACTTTAAAATATATAAACACTTTAAAATAATAAAATTCTATGAAACACAGGCACATTTGTAGTACTTTTTAAGAAACTTAAGCACACATTTGATCTTTGTAAGATTCTTAAGCCCATTTATTATATTTATGTTGTCCCATAGCAGAATTTTTAAAAAGTTATGTTATTCCCAGTCTTAAAAACTGCACTTTGAAAAGTTTGTCTTGAATTATAATCCTCAGATGTTTATTTATTCCCAAAAGATGGATCAAGAAATTAAGAAGATGCCAAAACATGTGCCTACATTCTACCTCTATGAATGGGCAATTGACTGAATTCTGAGCCATTGCTAAATACGGAAGCAAATCTACCAAAATCTGTTAATTGACTTCTCACCTCTGTTATCTTTTTCCAATCTACTCCTTGCTTCACTTGCTGTACCCCACACATAGCTGTTTTTTGCTGAAGCTCTTCTTCTATTTGGAGCATTTCTAAATGCTGACTTGGTGTGACCCCACCACTGACATCAGAATGACACTTGGTCCAATTATCCTGGAAGCATTTAGAATTTTGCAGGTCAGACCCCACTGATGTCTCATAGGTTTTCAGCAGCTTTTCCACAACACCATAGTTGGACCTAGGATCAGCCGATCTGGGTCGACCAGACAAATTACTCGGTCGCCAATCATGCTCGTGGAGCATACTCCGGTAACTGCTATGACTTATGCGTCCCTGCATTTGTCTGACTAGGCCTGTTGTAGGTTTTTTGGTGGCATTATCAGGCACATTTACAGGCATGTGGGCACTGGTTTTGAGAATATCAGAGCCACTGTCATTTTCTGCCATGTTACCTACACGAGTAACTATAGTATCACAGGGCTTAAGATCATCAGATGATTCTGAGTAGCTTTGATTTTGCCGCATTGCATGACAATTTCTATCGGTTCTAAATACAGCTCTGTTAAATTCATCAGTCTTTGCTGCTAGCTTATCATTCCTAGTGTTCCTTTTAAAGCTACCATTGAAACTGCTAAGCGGGCCGCTGCACTGTGTCACCAAGCTGCTATAGTCATTGTTTATAGAAAGATCAAGATGAGATTTAGCAGGATGAGCTGGGATCAGCTTTTCATATTTTGGCTTACTGGGAGTAGAGCAGGTTTTCTGAAACCACAATGTAGAGGGGCTACTTTCTGCACCTATCCTGATGTCATATGGCCACATGCTAAGTCCAATATTCTCATTACATGGAATCTTGTTCTCTGTTTTGGTTTCTTGTGCCAAAGAAGAAAACAGGGAACCATCTTTCAAAGTCTTGCCTTCATTTAGACACAGTGTAGGCATTTCATCGTGCCTCAGAAGGAAATGAGGACTGCAGTTCCTTTCACCTTGACCTTCTTGGGCCACCTGTCTGTGGTGGCCTAAACTTTCCTTCAAACTTTCATGGGCGTGTTCAGAATATGAAGTGGGAAAATTTCGAGATGTGCTTCTTGGAGGGGGAATGGGTGGAGTTTCAATACTTTGCAGATCAGTTGTATCAGTTCCACATTTTTTCATAGAATTGCTCTGAAGCATATTGCTACAGCTCAGATTTTTTCTGTTTTCCTGTTTTTGTTTTTCTAAAATGATTGGAAAAATGCACTGGCCATTGTTGATCATGTGGTCTTCATGAGGTATATTAATTACATTTGGCATTTCCTGGAGAAATGAATCTGACTTCATCCTGAACAATTATAAAACATGGTGTATTAATAACTTTATTTATCTTAGAAGAAACCACAGCTCAAGCAAAAGATTTCTACTATAGCAAAAGGAACTCTTCAAATATTTTTATATAAACCCTCTAGTAAAATCCACCTCTCAGTGTTGCATTCAAGGCTCTACATACTCTGGTACAAACTTTCCTTCCAACTCTTGTTCTCAGTTTTTCTATTAGCTGAAACTTTGCTTGTACTCACACTAGATTGTGTAGTTTCATGGGTGTCTGCGGCTGGCATTCCCATTTCTATAGGTTTTCCCCTGCCATTTCCTCACCTCTGCTCTGCTCCTTAATTCCCATTCGTTGTGCCATTCAGATCAAACTCCTCCCCCTGAATTTGAAAGAGCATTCTAAGTAGTAAGACAGAAATCTGAATAAAAGTACAATGAGACATGAGGAATACCAAATGGAAGGTGTCATTTGGGATTGAAAGAAAGCTAAGAACTTTCTGGCTGAGTAGAGTAAAGGGCACATAGGCATCTTGAGCTGCAATACTAACCATGTGGCTATTCAAAGCACAATGCATTCTTTGGTATAGAGGGATTCCAAAGCAAAGTGGACAGGATGATGGAAAGTAAGAGAGAAACATGAGGTTAAATTGTAATATCTTTGAATTACATATTAAAGATTTTGAACTTTTTTCTAAAGGCCCAGAGTAACAGGAAAAACTTTATAACAGTTGTGATTTGCCTAAGAAAATTGGCAAGTAAGTTTTTCTGAGTTCAATCAAAATAAAAACCTAAATAAAGCAACAATATAGATTTACAAATTAAAGTTAATTAATCACACTGATAAATAGAAATCATATTTATGTCTCCTCAATTAGTAACACACTATGAGACAGCTTACAATAAAGTGCAGATAAATACTCAATAAATGAACAAAGCGGGTGAAAGCTACATGGGCAGGTAGAGGTTAAAATTATATGTAAAACATGCTTGGATATGAAAATCTATTGTAAGTCAGTGCAAAAATTCTCTCTGAGCTTCCTAAATAAAGAAAATAAGGAAACACACTGCTGTAGCTTTGTAAGAGAAGCATACTGCCACCCTAGGAGATAAATGTTGATCCTAGAACAATCCATCTTTACTTGCAGAGAATTCCAATTTATTTTTTAATTTGGTCAAAACTTTCTTTTACAACAAATAGGTGTTTCTGAATGAAAACAGCATTTTTTATGGCATTGTATATATGTGTGTACATATTTATAATATATATTATTCTAAAAATTATATATGTATAAATACATAATAAATTTTGAAAAATAAATGATTGTTAGGTATAAAATATTTCAGTAGAATATCACTACATAATTAAAACACACATTGCTAAATCTGACACTGTTTAAAGATGTATTTAACTGGATTAGCCCTGCTGTACACTCTTCCCTTGGCCAAATACTCAAAATGGAAAAGAACTACATTAGAAAATACTTGTTAATTTATTATGGAGGGTACCTTAACTAAACACCAAAAAAGGAAAGTATTCTTAACAGTCAAATTACACGACAATTACACATTTGCTTTAAGAATTAGTGGAGCAAGAAATATACAATTAAATCCTTTAATAACTTATTGTTAATTCTCACTAACAAAGTGTAAGGAGGAGGCAGTTTGGATTCATTAATTGAAAACAAAATTTTTCTTGACTTTCCAGTATAAAATAACCACAGATATACCAGCGTACCTTCTGTGGTTAGACCTCTTTCGTATTTCCTCTTGAAAGCTGCATAATTCTTCACTAACTTTGGCAAGTTCTTCAAGTGCCTTTATGTATAAAAGTGTAGCATGTTAGTACTTTGAAATGTAAGTATTTCTTTAGAAACAGTTCTAGGCCAACCACAACTTACTTACCGTGTTGAGGGCACCTGAACAGCTCTTGCTTTCTTTCCCAGAAGTCCTCAGGTCAGACCAGACCTCACACGCAAATTGGTTGTCTATGGCCAATGGATCCATAAGCCCTACTTTTGATTTTTTTGCTGTCTTTTGTTCCTTACACATTTGATTTCCTTTACTGAGTAAGCTCTGCTCTGTTTTATTTCCTTTCCCCAGACCATCCCTGTGATTCATTCCTGTAAATTCACACTGTTCTGAATTGGAGTAATTTGGAGACGATTCTACCAGTCTACCTTGAATGGCCGCCTCACGATCAAAATCAATTATCTTAGCATGTTCATTCACGTTGAATTTCCTCCGAAGCTTTACTTCATGACAAAGCTGTAAGGAAAACAAAGATAAAACTTTTTTCTCCTAATTCAGTCTGCCAACTTTTTTCTTTTTTTTTTTTTACTTTGTCAATATTTTTGATGCTTAGTACAGTGTTTTGACTTCTGTTTGCCATATCAGTATATAATACTCTGGGGTATTAATGCTCATGCATCCAGAGCTTCCTTGGCTAAAATCTGTGTAAAGACTACTTTTAGTAGGTCAAAGCACAGATGGTAATTTCTATCTTTCTGAGTAGAAATCAACTCATTCAAAAATATAAAATAAACCTGTGTCTACATATAAATGTCACAATGATACAGAACAACCTCAATCAATCACTGGCCATGCTCTCTAATTGCTTTCAAAAAGAAGCAAGGGTTTAACATTAAAGTCATGTTTTTAAAATACATGATCCCACTTGCATGCCAACATTTAACTGTTTAAATAGTTGAAAAGCTCATACAGTTAAGGAAGCTCTATTTCCTACGTAGGCGTTTTGCAATCAAAGGATGTTTCTTTTGGTAGGTAGGTTGGTGAGGGCTAGGTGTCACTGAGATTTTTCAAACGCCAAGGCAATACACATTCAAAAACAATTTTTTATCTTGATTAAAACAAATGTGATCCTGTCTTATGTGATATAACAGAACTCTAAGGTGTTGGTCATCTGTTAGTCTATATAAATAAGTGTACATAAAATTATTCCTTAATGGGAACTTCATTTAACCTGCAGGCACTTGCTTGGCCCCTAAAGACAGGAAGTGACTTTGCTTCAGGCTTGAGTTCTGGGAAAGTTGCTCAACTTTCAAAGGAGTCTGTCAGACAATGATTAAAGCAAACTACATTTTACAACATCTGTATCTGTACAACATCTATTATTCAAGGAGTATAAGATTTTTTGCTGCTCAGTATTTATCCAAGCTCAGATGAGAGAAGCACTACATACAGTTGATGTCAGAAGGACATACAGCACATTTATTTCCATAGATCCTTCTACGTCTATCACTGAATGAACTCAAGATAGTCATCAAATTGCAGCCATGAATCAACTATTATGGCTCCTGTAAACTTATTTGTACTGAACTATTGTGGGCATTATGATTTTGGCTGACCATGAGGGATGATACAAGAAGTGAACCTCAGGGTGCTTTTAGTGACCCCTCTTCTGAAGGAGCTACGGATGAAAACAAAATGCTTCAGTTCCAGAATCATGAACAAAAGCGCTGTTCCTACGAAACAGGTTTGCTTTTGTCTTCTGAATACTCAGAAATATGCATCTGATAATGTGCATGTTAGTCACTAGAAAGATAGCCACACTGCCTGCATTTCCCGTGTGATCCTTCCTCCTGCCTTCATCTCATCTTTCCCCTTTTGTTTCGGCATGCTTTACCTGATGGAGAATATTATATGCCGTCTTAAATTGTCTTGAGGACTTAAGTGAGGTATGAATAAATCAAGAACATAATGTTGGAAAGAACATACAACAAGTAACAAAACTGATGGAAAGCAATTTATTTTGTATAAGAGAATCTGTGTTACCTCATACCCAGCCCTTGTCAAAGGTTATCTGATCGTTGGAACAAAGGGAACAAACAGGAAAGATTACTATAGGGTTAAGAAAAAAATTCCCAGGCACCGATAGACTCTATGCAGGTTTCTATTTGGATTATTCTGGTTTCAAATGATCCAAGTATGTACACCTTGGTTTTTCAATCACAAATGCAATGATTGCAGATCAAGGCTGAACTGAGAATCATTACCATGTTGTTATGCAGTGCTAGACCCTGTCACTAGGTACTATCACTTGAATTAATGAAGTTATATGTGTGCTTTTGGGAATCTCTACAGTTTCTAATGCATGACCTAATGATATAACACACAGATTTTAGTGATACATGTTAAACAAATATAGTCATTATACTTGTGGCCATTAAGGTTTTTCCAACTGTTGTTGTTTGATTTTAGCTTAAAAGCAATTGTCTTGATTCTCTGTAACATGTGAATATGCTGTCCTATTTTCCTCAGTCTTTTCTAATCCCAGCTTTGTAGCCTGTGAGAAGGAATGTATAAAAGGTATGCTCTTACAGAGTACAAAGCTGGGGGTAGAAAGGAAATACATATTAGTATGATAAGGGGAGCACAATGCTAGTATTCAGGTGCTGACGGATATCTTCTATGGGTGTTCTGGGTAAGCGTATTAACCAAACACGCTCCCAGGTATGAAGCTGTATACTGCAGCCAGCAAGACATAAATAGGACCGCAGCTACTGTCCAAGATGGAGAAAAATTACAGCCCTTCTGTCTCCTTGATGCAAAAAGGGACAGTATTTCTATGGACTAGCATCTTTTGTTCAAAATATGTTTAATGCCTGCTAATTGGTATGGCTTATATTTACCACAGAATCTACAGAGCTGGCAGAATAATTCTTTGATGAAAACAAATTTAACAACAGCTGATTGTTTTAGCTACATAGTTTAAACAATTGGCTAGACTAATCTCGACTCCTTTAGGCATTTTGCTTGCATGCTAGAATTATCTGAGACTGACTGAGATGTGTTACTAACTGGACTTTTCAAACCTTTGGAAGCCAGAGAACCATGAGCTCAGGTTTCTGTGTGGAGTTCTGGATTCTGATTTAACCTAGGCCTCTACTTGTTGATTGAATCTGAGTCTGTGGGTGGAGGACTTAAGAAAGTGATCAAAACACTTCTTCCAAACTATAAAGGGCCAAGCAGTAGATTTTCATTTTAATCTCTAACCATACACTACATGCCTGCCTTCTCAAGCTTGATTTTAGAAAAACAGTTTAATAGCTATGTGTTTTTAATTTTTCCTTTCAGCATGCCAACTTGTATTTTATTCACAACCAATTATATGGCTATTAATAAGGAAAATATTTGCACTGTAAACACATAAAGCACCAGCTTTGATTGCCTGTATTTGAATAAAGGCCAAGGAATTTGTTGAAATAACCAGTTTGGCAATGTGCACAAAACCATGTAAGTCAATACCATGGATGTTACTAGAAGAAGGCAAGATAAGTATAAATAATTTTCAGTTGGAGCAAGCTTGAATATACACCAATGTAAATGCCTAAAGGACATATTCCAGGGCCAACAGGCACTGAAATGGTTAATGGGGAAAAATGACTATATCACAGTCATGGCATGTCATTTTCATAACTCCTTCCTAACAGATGTGCCAATAAATGTGCCACACCCTGCCAGAATAAACAGCATGCCCACTGTCATTTTCTGCTTGACATATGATACTCCTTTTGATTATACTGAATTACCTAATATGCAACTTCCTTCAGTTCCAAATCCATGCGCTTTGGAAAACATTTTATCAGTAGATATTATTCATAAATCATCTCAGGAAAGATCTGTATTTTAATGCCCAATTATAATATAAAAATATAAAAAAAATAATGCCAAAATATAAAAAGAAAGACCACTTGTGTCTTTCTTATATTATCCCCCTTGCCTCCTATATTTGAAAACTTATGCAAAATACATACCTCACTTTTAATACCAAGGCACTCTAGCCAGAAAATAATAAGTTGATATACTCACTTTCTAGCAACAGTTCACATTCTTAGTTTTCATGCAAGGCTGTAAAATAAGTGTAGTCCCTTTTGTACCACTGGGTAAAGTTACGCTATTTTTGGTCCAGTAAATGTCACCGAGACATGCATCTCTTAGGTGGAATAAGGAAAACAGAAATCATTTCCAATACAAAACAACTTCAACAGAATTTTTATCTGAGCTTTAAGTTTCCAATGTATTCAAATAAACTTGTACCTCTTCTATCTTCTTCTGCATGATCTTCCATTGACTTTCCCATTCCTTTCTTTCACTGTCAAACTGGTCCAGTAATTCCATCTTTTCCTTGTGCCAGTTAGTCTCTGTGTTTCCCCACTGCTTCTGAAGGTCCATGGCAACCGCGTGAGTGTTAGTGAAGGGGTGTTTCTGCTCGTCTCTGCCTTCTCTTAACTATTCCTTGGAAGCTTGGAGGTGTTTTATTTGAAGCAGTCTCACTTGCCTTTAAAAGAAAGCCTAATATAAACATGACAAGAGAGCGTTCCAAATCCATGCGCTTTGGAAAACATTTTATCATTTTGTCAAGTCATCACCATAAAAAAAGTAGAGGAAAATCGGACTCAGAAGTAAAGAGATGACAACAAATTTGCTTAAGAAGAAACTAACAGAGTCAAAAAATAAGTATCATCCAAAGGTTTCTTTTTTTCCTGAGACCAGACAGCAAAATTATAGTGAACAAGATGGTTAAATACATACGTGACATATAAATAATGCTTAACTAACCACCTAATCTAAAGATAGAATTTTTCACCAATATTTAAGAGTGGAAGTACAAAATTCAATGGTGTGATCACATCTACAAAATTGTGGTACATTTCTGCTGCAGCAGAGTGACTCCTCGTGACCTGAGGTAACCAGATTATATAGTTCTGTGACCTAAAGTCCTAACAGTGCGAGACTACCAACTCAATTTTATATTCAGAGCTGAAGCTCAAGCCAAATGTGATGACTGTATGAGTAAGACCCTAGACTTGGTAGTCAATCTGGGACCAACATATCAGCAAAACAAACTAAATCATAAAAAAAAAATTTCATTACTTTGCTGCATCAAGTAAAATGTAAAAGCGACAAAACTACTCTGAAAGCCATATACTAAAACATATCCAGGCTTTCTTTTCCTCCAAATAGACTACACACCAGAACCTATTTCGGATGTTGAATACAGAGACAACTGAAGAAAACAGTGGACTCAGTTTGCAGGCATCTCCTTGATAACATCAAGCAGTGGCCGAAATTGATTTCTAGCATTTGGTGTATGTGTACTTAGATTTTGAAGATGCAATTTAAAATGCCAGATTGATAATACTAAGTCATCTAAAATTTCTGAGATTTAGTTTATTTACACTCAAATGGGAGATAGTCACAGGGTTGTCAGAAAGATTAAATGAAATATGGATTACAAAGAGTTTGAGAAATTTTTTCTCTTATTTTTCTGCTTTAAAAAAATTTTACTCTGACTTCCACTGGAAATAATTTTTTTACTAATAAATTCAGACTTCTTTTAACATGTAGAAAAGCATGTTTAAGATGTCTGACTAGCTAAGATTATCATGCCTATAAGAATTCTCTTAGTTTTCTAGGCAATGACCGAAATGTCTTAACTTACCAGGTGGCAGCTTATGCTAATTAGGAGCAAAGTTCCCAAGAGTTAAGAGCTGCCTCGGTTCTGGCATTGTGGAATGAAGCCGACATAATCGGGCAGCAAGCCCCATTTTGTAGTCACAGAAGATGGCTGCCTATTTCATATCCCAGTTATAAGATAAACACTGAAGATTAATTTTTTGTGTGTTTGTGTCAGACTGTTCTGACCATGAATATCCCAGTAGTAAACTGTTCTGAACATATAGTGCAATCAGTAGATTTATCATAGACTAACAAGATAAAAAATGCTAGTTCTATGTGCAGGGCTCCACCTTCCAAAGCCCTGTAATAATAATGGGGCATATACTGCTATTCTTCTCTCAATTTGCTATAGATACTTTGATCATTTTAGCCTACTTCTTTGGTGCTCAAAATACTATATTGAATTCAATCTAGAAACAAGAAGCAATTTCACATTTAGCCACTAAAAAAGATGTTCTCATGTCTCCTTTTATTCACTTAGTCATGCTCTTTTCTAATCTCATATTCCTCCTCTCTGTCATCCTTCCTTCCCTCCACACTTATGAGCAGGCACCACAAGTGCCTGCCATAGTAAAGACAAGTTGCCCCCAAGTAAAGAAGTCCACAAGGACCTAACAAAATGAAGACAGAAGGGATACACAGGATTTTATTTTTTGTTCGTTTTGGTGAATCTGTCATTGATCTTGATTACCTAGTGATCTTTTAAGTTTACCTCATAACTTTTCACAGAAATGCAGACAGTTCTTATTTTCAGAGACTAACAGACTAAAGTAATATGCCATTAACTGTGAGCTGAAATCATCTTGCTTACTAGCAGGTATTTAACACTGAAATTTTTTAAGAACAGTGGAGAAGCTTAAGATTTCAAGAGAGTTGCAGACTTAACCAAGGAAATTATAGAAAGGGAGCCCACTAATTTCAAGCTGCCTGAAAAAAAAAGTACTATGATATTTCATGTTTTATGCTGTCTTTAAACACTGGAAATGTTCAGAAATCATCATAAAGTTTCTCCTACTGTAGCAAATGGTTCTGTTTTTTCTTTCTTTTCCTAACTCTTCTTGACCCACTTTCAGACCAGGGTTAAAAGGCTCCGGACCCTTCTCTTTTTTACCTACCTGGAGATGATCATCCAGGAAGGTCTACATCAGGCTTGCTCCTCGTAACAGGTTTATACATGAGCCCAGATAATGGATAATAGTCCAAAGCAGACAGAATCTTGCACTTAATTGCAAAGAGCCAAGCTCACTACTTAATATGGAGAAGGGCCAATCTACAGAGCTTCCAGAGCCAGAGCAGTATCTGGTGCCAGGAAATGTAACAGTAATGGATTAAAAAAACAAGCCTTTGAAAGAAAATTCCTATACAGCATCTGTGCCAATTTTTGTGGGAGGATTTATTTCACTTTCCTAGCATCTATGTCTTGTCATAAATGTCAAATGTAATATGGCTGAATATATTGCTTTCTCCTCTAAAAATAAAGTGGGGCCATAGAATTGTTATGAGGATTATATGAGCCAGAGAGAATGCTTAATAAAAGTGCCTACCATCATTTTGGATCATAGCGGGTGCTCAATATATACATTTCTTGGTTTCTTCCTTCTTCCCTACCTCACCTCCTCTTCCCTTCCCTTCACCTATCCCTCTTCACTATTGTTTTCTTTCTCTGGAATGAAATTTGATTTTGATATTTATGTAATTACAAAACTGACAAACACAAGTCAGTCATGTGAGCTATTATATTCTCAATGATTCTCCTTTGCCCTCAGTATGTTTTTCAAATACTTGAAGGACACATGGTAAATCCAATACTTAGAAAGTTTTTTATTGTTAGTAAACATTTAAATAGACAAACCTTCTATAATTCTTCTTTTTAAAATAATTCTCCTTAAATTAAAAAAAAAATCCGACCAATGGGACAACTCTGTAAGGATGTAATGCTCTATAATGAAAAGTTATGAGGTACAGTGGTTGAACAGATTCAAAAACTCAATTCCAGTGCTCTCTACTGAGGCAAATATAAAAGTTCTCTTTGTTCTTAGTCGTCACACTTTTTCACCCACAGATATCGGCATCTCTGTGGGAGAGAAGGAAGGATTTCTGCTATCTGCAAGGCTCTCTGTGGCTCTTTCACTCTCCATTTCATTCCTTCCAGAATTTCATTCAGAATAAAAATTTATTAGAGCACATATAAAAGGACAGAGTGAACTGCATTCTTTAGTCATGCATACATTCTTCCCTCAAGGACTCTAAATTAGAATTACATAATCCACTTAACCTACTTTCCCATCCCCAGGGCTGGAAGTCTTTCAGAGGTATGAGTGGGTTGCATAAGTATGGTGATGCGGCCGGGGAGAAATAGTTCTGCTAACCTTCTGGCCCTATTAGTAAACACAGGAGTCTCACAATAAATCATTTTCATTTCCCAAATAAGCCTCAGTTTGGTCTTGTCTGAGGGGTGCTCCATTCTTACCACACCTTGGCCATTACCATCTCAGCCTCTATCTTCCCCAGTGAAAAAGTGGACTTCAGCCAAATAAACGAAACAATGTCAGGGGAGCTGACTCCACTGCCACTTCTCTCTTCTGAGATTTCTGTTCAGAGTATTTGTTTTTACTCTCCTATTTCCTCTTTCTCAACATATTACTTTTCACATTATTGGAGACATTTCATTTGTAGGAAGTTACATATTCCAATAGGAATACCATACACAGTATGTACTGTTAACAACATAAAATTATTCCTTAATGGGAACTTCATTTAACCTGCAGGCACTTGCTTGGCCCCTAAAGACAGGAAGTGACTTTGCTTCAGGCTTGAGTTCTGGGAAAGTTGCTCAACTTTCAAAGGAGTCTGTCAGACAATGATTAAAGCAAACTACATTTTACAACATCTGTATCTGTACAACATCTATTATTCAAGGAGTATAAGATTTTTTGCTGCTCAGTATTTATCCAAGCTCAGATGAGAGAAGCACTACATACAGTTGATGTCAGAAGGACATACAGCACATTTATTTCCATAGATCCTTCTACGTCTATCACTGAATGAACTCAAGATAGTCATCAAATTGCAGCCATGAATCAACTATTATGGCTCCTGTAAACTTATTTGTACTGAACTATTGTGGGCATTATGATTTTGGCTGACCATGAGGGATGATACAAGAAGTGAACCTCAGGGTGCTTTTAGTGACCCCTCTTCTGAAGGAGCTACGGATGAAAACAAAATGCTTCAGTTCCAGAATCATGAACAAAAGCGCTGTTCCTACGAAACAGGTTTGCTTTTGTCTTCTGAATACTCAGAAATATGCATCTGATAATGTGCATGTTAGTCACTAGAAAGATAGCCACACTGCCTGCATTTCCCGTGTGATCCTTCCTCCTGCCTTCATCTCATCTTTCCCCTTTTGTTTCGGCATGCTTTACCTGATGGAGAATATTATATGCCGTCTTAAATTGTCTTGAGGACTTAAGTGAGGTATGAATAAATCAAGAACATAATGTTGGAAAGAACATACAACAAGTAACAAAACTGATGGAAAGCAATTTATTTTGTATAAGAGAATCTGTGTTACCTCATACCCAGCCCTTGTCAAAGGTTATCTGATCGTTGGAACAAAGGGAACAAACAGGAAAGATTACTATAGGGTTAAGAAAAAAATTCCCAGGCACCGATAGACTCTATGCAGGTTTCTATTTGGATTATTCTGGTTTCAAATGATCCAAGTATGTACACCTTGGTTTTTCAATCACAAATGCAATGATTGCAGATCAAGGCTGAACTGAGAATCATTACCATGTTGTTATGCAGTGCTAGACCCTGTCACTAGGTACTATCACTTGAATTAATGAAGTTATATGTGTGCTTTTGGGAATCTCTACAGTTTCTAATGCATGACCTAATGATATAACACACAGATTTTAGTGATACATGTTAAACAAATATAGTCATTATACTTGTGGCCATTAAGGTTTTTCCAACTGTTGTTGTTTGATTTTAGCTTAAAAGCAATTGTCTTGATTCTCTGTAACATGTGAATATGCTGTCCTATTTTCCTCAGTCTTTTCTAATCCCAGCTTTGTAGCCTGTGAGAAGGAATGTATAAAAGGTATGCTCTTACAGAGTACAAAGCTGGGGGTAGAAAGGAAATACATATTAGTATGATAAGGGGAGCACAATGCTAGTATTCAGGTGCTGACGGATATCTTCTATGGGTGTTCTGGGTAAGCGTATTAACCAAACACGCTCCCAGGTATGAAGCTGTATACTGCAGCCAGCAAGACATAAATAGGACCGCAGCTACTGTCCAAGATGGAGAAAAATTACAGCCCTTCTGTCTCCTTGATGCAAAAAGGGACAGTATTTCTATGGACTAGCATCTTTTGTTCAAAATATGTTTAATGCCTGCTAATTGGTATGGCTTATATTTACCACAGAATCTACAGAGCTGGCAGAATAATTCTTTGATGAAAACAAATTTAACAACAGCTGATTGTTTTAGCTACATAGTTTAAACAATTGGCTAGACTAATCTCGACTCCTTTAGGCATTTTGCTTGCATGCTAGAATTATCTGAGACTGACTGAGATGTGTTACTAACTGGACTTTTCAAACCTTTGGAAGCCAGAGAACCATGAGCTCAGGTTTCTGTGTGGAGTTCTGGATTCTGATTTAACCTAGGCCTCTACTTGTTGATTGAATCTGAGTCTGTGGGTGGAGGACTTAAGAAAGTGATCAAAACACTTCTTCCAAACTATAAAGGGCCAAGCAGTAGATTTTCATTTTAATCTCTAACCATACACTACATGCCTGCCTTCTCAAGCTTGATTTTAGAAAAACAGTTTAATAGCTATGTGTTTTTAATTTTTCCTTTCAGCATGCCAACTTGTATTTTATTCACAACCAATTATATGGCTATTAATAAGGAAAATATTTGCACTGTAAACACATAAAGCACCAGCTTTGATTGCCTGTATTTGAATAAAGGCCAAGGAATTTGTTGAAATAACCAGTTTGGCAATGTGCACAAAACCATGTAAGTCAATACCATGGATGTTACTAGAAGAAGGCAAGATAAGTATAAATAATTTTCAGTTGGAGCAAGCTTGAATATACACCAATGTAAATGCCTAAAGGACATATTCCAGGGCCAACAGGCACTGAAATGGTTAATGGGGAAAAATGACTATATCACAGTCATGGCATGTCATTTTCATAACTCCTTCCTAACAGATGTGCCAATAAATGTGCCACACCCTGCCAGAATAAACAGCATGCCCACTGTCATTTTCTGCTTGACATATGATACTCCTTTTGATTATACTGAATTACCTAATATGCAACTTCCTTCAGTTCCAAATCCATGCGCTTTGGAAAACATTTTATCAGTAGATATTATTCATAAATCATCTCAGGAAAGATCTGTATTTTAATGCCCAATTATAATATAAAAATATAAAAAAAATAATGCCAAAATATAAAAAGAAAGACCACTTGTGTCTTTCTTATATTATCTCCCTTGCCTCCTATATTTGAAAACTTATGCAAAATACATACCTCACTTTTAATACCAAGGCACTCTAGCCAGAAAATAATAAGTTGATATACTCACTTTCTAGCAACAGTTCACATTCTTAGTTTTCATGCAAGGCTGTAAAATAAGTGTAGTCCCTTTTGTACCACTGGGTAAAGTTACGCTATTTTTGGTCCAGTAAATGTCACCGAGACATGCATCTCTTAGGTGGAATAAGGAAAACAGAAATCATTTCCAATACAAAACAACTTCAACAGAATTTTTATCTGAGCTTTAAGTTTCCAATGTATTCAAATAAACTTGTACCTCTTCTATCTTCTTCTGCATGATCTTCCATTGACTTTCCCATTCCTTTCTTTCACTGTCAAACTGGTCCAGTAATTCCATCTTTTCCTTGTGCCAGTTAGTCTCTGTGTTTCCCCACTGCTTCTGAAGGTCCATGGCAACCGCGTGAGTGTTAGTGAAGGGGTGTTTCTGCTCGTCTCTGCCTTCTCTTAACTATTCCTTGGAAGCTTGGAGGTGTTTTATTTGAAGCAGTCTCACTTGCCTTTAAAAGAAAGCCTAATATAAACATGACAAGAGAGCGTTCCAAATCCATGCGCTTTGGAAAACATTTTATCATTTTGTCAAGTCATCACCATAAAAAAAGTAGAGGAAAATCGGACTCAGAAGTAAAGAGATGACAACAAATTTGCTTAAGAAGAAACTAACAGAGTCAAAAAATAAGTATCATCCAAAGGTTTTTTCTTTTTTTCCTGAGACCAGACAGCAAAATTATAGTGAACAAGATGGTTAAATACATACGTGACATATAAATAATGCTTAACTAACCACCTAATCTAAAGATAGAATTTTTCACCAATATCTAAGAGTGGAAGTACAAAATTCAATGGTGTGATCACATCTACAAAATTGTGGTACATTTCTGCTGCAGCAGAGTGACTCCTCGTGACCTGAGGTAACCAGATTATATAGTTCTGTGACCTAAAGTCCTAACAGTGCGAGACTACCAACTCAATTTTATATTCAGAGCTGAAGCTCAAGCCAAATGTGATGACTGTATGAGTAAGACCCTAGACTTGGTAGTCAATCTGGGACCAACATATCAGCAAAACAAACTAAATCATAAAAAAAAAATTTCATTACTTTGCTGCATCAAGTAAAATGTAAAAGCGACAAAACTACTCTGAAAGCCATATACTAAAACATATCCAGGCTTTCTTTTCCTCCAAATAGACTACACACCAGAACCTATTTCGGATGTTGAATACAGAGACAACTGAAGAAAACAGTGGACTCAGTTTGCAGGCATCTCCTTGATAACATCAAGCAGTGGCCGAAATTGATTTCTAGCATTTGGTGTATGTGTACTTAGATTTTGAAGATGCAATTTAAAATGCCAGATTGATAATACTAAGTCATCTAAAATTTCTGAGATTTAGTTTATTTACACTCAAATGGGAGATAGTCACAGGGTTGTCAGAAAGATTAAATGAAATATGGATTACAAAGAGTTTGAGAAATTTTTTCTCTTATTTTTCTGCTTTAAAAAAATTTTACTCTGACTTCCACTGGAAATAATTTTTTTACTAATAAATTCAGACTTCTTTTAACATGTAGAAAAGCATGTTTAAGATGTCTGACTAGCTAAGATTATCATGCCTATAAGAATTCTCTTAGTTTTCTAGGCAATGACCGAAATGTCTTAACTTACCAGGTGGCAGCTTATGCTAATTAGGAGCAAAGTTCCCAAGAGTTAAGAGCTGCCTCGGTTCTGGCATTGTGGAATGAAGCCGACATAATCGGGCAGCAAGCCCCATTTTGTAGTCACAGAAGATGGCTGCCTATTTCATATCCCAGTTATAAGATAAACACTGAAGATTAATTTTTTGTGTGTTTGTGTCAGACTGTTCTGACCATGAATATCCCAGTAGTAAACTGTTCTGAACATATAGTGCAATCAGTAGATTTATCATAGACTAACAAGATAAAAAATGCTAGTTCTATGTGCAGGGCTCCACCTTCCAAAGCCCTGTAATAATAATGGGGCATATACTGCTATTCTTCTCTCAATTTGCTATAGATACTTTGATCATTTTAGCCTACTTCTTTGGTGCTCAAAATACTATATTGAATTCAATCTAGAAACAAGAAGCAATTTCACATTTAGCCACTAAAAAAGATGTTCTCATGTCTCCTTTTATTCACTTAGTCATGCTCTTTTCTAATCTCATATTCCTCCTCTCTGTCATCCTTCCTTCCCTCCACACTTATGAGCAGGCACCACAAGTGCCTGCCATAGTAAAGACAAGTTGCCCCCAAGTAAAGAAGTCCACAAGGACCTAACAAAATGAAGACAGAAGGGATACACAGGATTTTATTTTTTGTTCGTTTTGGTGAATCTGTCATTGATCTTGATTACCTAGTGATCTTTTAAGTTTACCTCATAACTTTTCACAGAAATGCAGACAGTTCTTATTTTCAGAGACTAACAGACTAAAGTAATATGCCATTAACTGTGAGCTGAAATCATCTTGCTTACTAGCAGGTATTTAACACTGAAATTTTTTAAGAACAGTGGAGAAGCTTAAGATTTCAAGAGAGTTGCAGACTTAACCAAGGAAATTATAGAAAGGGAGCCCACTAATTTCAAGCTGCCTGAAAAAAAAAGTACTATGATATTTCATGTTTTATGCTGTCTTTAAACACTGGAAATGTTCAGAAATCATCATAAAGTTTCTCCTACTGTAGCAAATGGTTCTGTTTTTTCTTTCTTTTCCTAACTCTTCTTGACCCACTTTCAGACCAGGGTTAAAAGGCTCCGGACCCTTCTCTTTTTTACCTACCTGGAGATGATCATCCAGGAAGGTCTACATCAGGCTTGCTCCTCGTAACAGGTTTATACATGAGCCCAGATAATGGATAATAGTCCAAAGCAGACAGAATCTTGCACTTAATTGCAAAGAGCCAAGCTCACTACTTAATATGGAGAAGGGCCAATCTACAGAGCTTCCAGAGCCAGAGCAGTATCTGGTGCCAGGAAATGTAACAGTAATGGATTAAAAAAACAAGCCTTTGAAAGAAAATTCCTATACAGCATCTGTGCCAATTTTTGTGGGAGGATTTATTTCACTTTCCTAGCATCTATGTCTTGTCATAAATGTCAAATGTAATATGGCTGAATATATTGCTTTCTCCTCTAAAAATAAAGTGGGGCCATAGAATTGTTATGAGGATTATATGAGCCAGAGAGAATGCTTAATAAAAGTGCCTACCATCATTTTGGATCATAGCGGGTGCTCAATATATACATTTCTTGGTTTCTTCCTTCTTCCCTACCTCACCTCCTCTTCCCTTCCCTTCACCTATCCCTCTTCACTATTGTTTTCTTTCTCTGGAATGAAATTTGATTTTGATATTTATGTAATTACAAAACTGACAAACACAAGTCAGTCATGTGAGCTATTATATTCTCAATGATTCTCCTTTGCCCTCAGTATGTTTTTCAAATACTTGAAGGACACATGGTAAATCCAATACTTAGAAAGTTTTTTATTGTTAGTAAACATTTAAATAGACAAACCTTCTATAATTCTTCTTTTTAAAATAATTCTCCTTAAATTAAAAAAAAAATCCGACCAATGGGACAACTCTGTAAGGATGTAATGCTCTATAATGAAAAGTTATGAGGTACAGTGGTTGAACAGATTCAAAAACTCAATTCCAGTGCTCTCTACTGAGGCAAATATAAAAGTTCTCTTTGTTCTTAGTCGTCACACTTTTTCACCCACAGATATCGGCATCTCTGTGGGAGAGAAGGAAGGATTTCTGCTATCTGCAAGGCTCTCTGTGGCTCTTTCACTCTCCATTTCATTCCTTCCAGAATTTCATTCAGAATAAAAATTTATTAGAGCACATATAAAAGGACAGAGTGAACTGCATTCTTTAGTCATGCATACATTCTTCCCTCAAGGACTCTAAATTAGAATTACATAATCCACTTAACCTACTTTCCCATCCCCAGGGCTGGAAGTCTTTCAGAGGTATGAGTGGGTTGCATAAGTATGGTGATGCGGCCGGGGAGAAATAGTTCTGCTAACCTTCTGGCCCTATTAGTAAACACAGGAGTCTCACAATAAATCATTTTCATTTCCCAAATAAGCCTCAGTTTGGTCTTGTCTGAGGGGTGCTCCATTCTTACCACACCTTGGCCATTACCATCTCAGCCTCTATCTTCCCCAGTGAAAAAGTGGACTTCAGCCAAATAAACGAAACAATGTCAGGGGAGCTGACTCCACTGCCACTTCTCTCTTCTGAGATTTCTGTTCAGAGTATTTGTTTTTACTCTCCTATTTCCTCTTTCTCAACATATTACTTTTCACATTATTGGAGACATTTCATTTGTAGGAAGTTACATATTCCAATAGGAATACCATACACAGTATGTACTGTTAACCTCACAATTCCTAGAAAAATCATTTGCCTTGGAGATGCTTTGCTTTCTCTTAACTTAGAGATACTGGGAATTCTCATGCCTAGAGCCATCAAAGTTATGCTTCATTTGCCTCCACGATTGGCTAGCCCTTTCTCCAGACTATTATGAATCAGTTGCATCATTTCAGCTAATTAACATACCTTATTTCTCCCCTAGATAGGTTCACTGGCAAATGCATCTTTCCAAAGACAACCATGATTTTATTTTGTTCCAGGGCAAAAGGTTTTTTTTTTTTATTACTGCTACTTCTCATGATTTCACCATGTTCCTTATGTTCCAATAGGGTTAAAGAGATACAACCACATGCAGTCCTGAAAAAATCAATTTTGCTTTCTCATTTTATTATCTTCCTCCTTGTTTTCTCCCCAGTTATATACTCAAACTAAAAAGAAACTAATACATAGATGCACAGATCTTCCTTCTCTTATAAAATAATAGCTTTGAAAGGAACTTATGGCTTGGCAAAAAATCAAATATCTAGAATTAACCAGCTTAGACAGTGGAAGACATAGCAGTACAGTTTCAACTCAAATTACAGAAATAGTTATGCAGTAAGCAAATCATTTTGGATGAAACTACATTTATCTACCTGTCATTGCAATTTTAAATGCCAGCAATCTCAAGAGTTAGAAATTTTACATTGAAATGTTAAAAAGTCCTCACCCCAACAAAGACAGCATTTCTACTACATACACTAGTGAAATCCCACAGTAGGCAAAGTGCTGTTTGAAGTACTGAGAAGCAGCATTTGAAAAATACAGTCTCAGAGAGTGGACAGCACTGTCAGTTCAGATTTGGGAAAGCCACTCACAGCAACTGAACCTTCTCTGCCCTGGGAGTCAAGCTAAAAACCGTTATACACCCCACCCCACTGCTTTTAAGCCCAGGCACAGACACTGAGACAGACAGATGTTGGAATCACCCTCCACTTGAAAAGTAGCCATAGTTTAAAACATGTCAGCAGCAGCCCCTCTGTATTTTGCCACAATTAGTTCCTTGCTTTCAAACTGCCAGAAAGAAACATACCTTTTTGCTCTGGGGAGAAGCCTTATGGATGTCGACCGCT